TAGCGATGTTAATGCAGACAAAGTCTGGCCTGTGTAATCGTTGTTAGGGTAACCATTTAAGAGGTTACCTACTGTAGTGCATTTAGTAACTCTTGTTAATAAAAAGTTAATAATTATGAAATGTTCCATTCGCATTATTGTGCTGTATGTTTATTTGTCTTTGTTGTCATCTTTTGCGTATTGTAATAATTAATAAGATACATTGGCTATTATTATCATCATCGTTTTACATTTTGTCAATAAATTGAGGTATTTATAAAATAAGTATAAAATATAAATCTACTATGGTGCTGTTTAATCAGTTTGATTTTTGATTTGGCTGTTCAATGTTAGGACTAAAAGTGTCAATGAATTAATTATATATATATCTTTTATTTATTAGCTTTTTTCTCGAAAGAGCCATACGGTTGAAGACTAAACCTAAATATTAAATAATAATAATATGAGCAGACGTGTAGGCTACTGGATAAAACATAAGTAGCCTATGTGTTCATTTTTATTTATCAAAAAAACTAGGCTAACAAAAATCTTACACCTCTTAGAGAAACTAATGTGGTAAAGTAGGTTACCGTAGGCTATACTTTAAATCATCATTTAGCATTCTCACAAATTCAACCCGTCCCGTTTATTTAACGGGTTTTAGAAGATGTAGGCTATATAAGACACGAGGGGAAAAAACAATCATTTTGTGTAAATTTAGGCTGTTTTTCTGAATATGAACTCATATTCAAACCAATATTAATTTCCATCAATGATTAGTTTGTCGTGGATAAAGACTTCATGTTCGATTTTGGCGGGATTAGTAAATTATTCTCGTGAATAGCAGAATATCCATCAGAATAAAATGGCATACATTTTCCTATAATAACAGATGTACAGTAGCCTATATCAAAAAATGTTTAATGAGTTATGCCTGTTTGAGAAAATACATAATTTTTTGAGTTTGTAGCCTACACGTCCTTGTTCTGCTAACGTTTAACTGATTACGTTTACCTGTAGGTCTTGACGTAACGTTTACGATGAAACTTTAACCTTCTGATGTATTCCTACAAGTATTGAGCAGATCTTATATTTCTGAACGCAGGTATGTCACTAAGAGCAAGCCCCTGCCACTTAGCAACAGCGGAGCCAATGAACGGACTCCAAATCTTTCCACCTACAAGCGGTGCCAAGGCAACATGCTAAAGAACGTGATGACGTCTGGCTGTGCACGAAAGTATTATGGGCTGTATGGAATTCTGAAGCTAGAGCAGGCGGACCGGACTCGCGCTCACGGCTAGCTACGCTGCAAGCTAACGGTAGACGAAGGTAAACATGGAGCTGTCGGCTGTCGGAGAGAGGGTGTTCGCGGCCGAATCGATCATCAAGAGAAGAATACGACGGGTATGTGTTGTGGAAGAGATATCTCGACATTTTTTGCATATAACAAGTTATGTGCTAATGTCGTCGGCTGGCGCTAACGAATTCTTTTTTGTGTGTGTGTCTGATGGCACGCGCAGGGTCGAATGGGATATCTCGTGAAATGGAAAGGCTGGTCACCCAAGTGAGTAATACATGCCCATCCTGTCTGTTGTGCTTTGCGCTGGTGTTTTGGTGACAGTGATGGCCGTCAACCCTGCTAGATATCGCGAGGGGCGTACATCCACGGGCAGGTTAACAATCTGGTTATTACTGCAGACTGGTTTTGGCAGATGGCATGCTGCAACATTAGCTGGCCCTGCTAGCTGGCCGGTAGAGCAGTGGTTTCAATGCAGCTAAAGACTGACAGTCATCACGTGAAACTTTTTTGTTCTCACAGGTACAGTACTTGGGAACCAGAGGAAAATATCCTAGACTCACGCCTATTCGTTGCATTTGAAGAGAGGTATAAAATAAATAAAGTAAAACTATTAGGCGGCCGAAAATACAGACGTTTTCACACTTGCGCTTGTATTTTCATGCAGGGAGCGTGAGAGAGAAATATTTGGACCCAAGAAAAGAGGACCTAAGCTCAAGACTTTTCTTCTAAAGGTTAATGTCATTTATTTATTAACAAATAAATAATAATAATCCTGAAATTATCTATATTGTGTATAATATTATTATTAGGTTTGCACTATTTATTTATTTTTTTGTCTGTAAATTAATACATTTTATATAAGGGCATAATTTTGAGTTCTGTGCTAATTTTTCAAAAACATGTATTTTTCACAGGCCCAAGCTAAAGAAAAGGCGAAGTCTTACGGATTTAGGAATGAATCACCTAGAGGCATTGAATATCCCAGTCCAGAGCCTTTGGTAACCCCTAGAGCGAGAGAAGGACTACGTTCTGTGGTTCCCACAATTTTCCCTCCCAGCACAGTCAACCGAGGGGAGAGTGTAAGGATTCCACCTCCAGAACCAAGGGAGCATCGTTCTCCACACTCACCCAGACCCAGCACTGATGCTTTTACCCTCACCCCAAAAAAGAGAGGACGGAAGCCCAAATTATGCTTCACAGATGGCTATACTAGCTCCTTACATCCAGAGCATTCAAAAAGAGCAGCAGACGAAACCATGGCAAGCATTCCTTCCAAAATGGCAAAGTTAGGTTTGGGAGAAGAGGAAGAGAGATGCTCAGAAATAAGTGGGAGAATTAAGATATCTCATAAGCACATGGATGCTACCTATTCACACAAACAAAACAGAGTTGTTCCAAGCAGGAGTACCCAGCACATTTCTCCAGAGTGGAGTTTGCATTCCAGCAGAGTTAGTGCAGACTTACAAGGCCACAGGACTAATCCACAGACGAGCCACTTTCACCATAAACACCTGAAGCACCATTCAAAACGAAGAACATTTGAACATGGTGATTCCACCAGCAGACAGCCTTCACTTATTGCCAAAATTCCAGTGTCACGCATATTTGGAGAGCCAGAGGAGGGAGATGCTTGGAGACCCACCTTCTGCAATGTGGAGAAAGTCATAGTTACCGATGTGACATCGAACTTCCTGACTGTAACAATCAAAGAGAGTAGCACAGATAAAGGCTTCTTTAAAGACAAAAGATGATTATTTACTGCAGCCAGTATGCTCCTTTCATCTCTTCAGATGTCCTTTATTGTCGAAAATATTCTGTGTATTGTATAAAAAAAAATCTTATTCCCTTTTCTGTCACACTGAAATCTGTATTTATTGTGAAATTGTTGCTTTAAGAAATTTGCATGCACTAGACACCATAAACAAAGCCAGAACTGCGTTCAAATACCTTAACGAGTTCTCAGATCATTTGTTGTAAGTATTAATTACAAATTGTTTACCTATAAATATATAAAAGTATCATTTTTGTCTCCCAGACGAATATTAAAACATTTATGTACAGACTAAGACTTGACATTTTGCACACTAACCGTCATATTTTTTTTGCGCAACATCATTACCTTTTCAATTCTTGTAATTTACGTTGATTTTATTTTGTCATTTAATATTGCCAGTTAACTTATAGGCCTACACTTGTTTCACGGTACAGCGACATTAACAATTTACACATATAAAAGTGTAAAATGAAAATCTAATTTTCATCTCAAAAGTAAAGTATAATAATGAACACGTTTCTTTTGTTTCTCTTTATTTCAGCTCAAATTAGTATTTATAAATATGTAGTAATGTTAAATTGTATAAACTTCTAATTATTTTGTAGGGCGTTTGTAATTGTGATTATCGATGAATTGTGCGGATAAAAGTTCTTTAATATGACATTAAATAGAAAAGCGCACATCCAATGTCTACTCGAATCCATACACGATCATAATTTTACAATATGCATATGTGTGTGTATTAGTCCTGTAAGTAATAAAAAAAACACGTAAAACGTAAATTATGCTTATTTGCCCAGTTAGTAGCATTTAATGCAAAACGAGATGTCGTTAAGGAAAACAGCTACATTTTAAAGTTCCCAAACTTTTAACGTATACAGTGTTATACAATGGTGGTACTCGATTCCATTTGACAGCCTTTTATTTATTTGGACTTTATGGTTTCTTTTGTGACACGTAACAAAATGTAAACTTTCAGGTTTACATAACACATTCATAGTGCTTTCGATCAATAAGTGTTGGGCCTCCAGATATTGCCGTGTAAAGGTCAAAAACTCTTGGCGTCATCAATCTTTTAAACTTTTTATATATTTTTTTTAGTTTCGATTTTATATCATAATGAAACTAAAATACTACTTAAGCCCGAAAGATGAAAATCACAGTCACGATCAAAATTTAGAGCACAACACTTGTATTTTATTCATGAGTCTCTTATTCAAAATGCAATTTTGTAATTCGTTTTTATTTAAGAAAAGTTCTTCTAACGATTCTAAGATTTTTCATCTAAATAAGACATCTAAAATGCGTCTACGCTATCGATAGGTGTGTGTCTTCGTGGATTTTGTGTTCGTGGCCTCCTCGGCATTTCTGGGTCTTTTCGTTCTCATTGAATCCATTTCATGGTGTTTTTCAGCTTTGTCGTCACCGGAATTCCGGTCTACGCCCTGGAAAATAAAAATCACTTTGAATTGTTTTGCCTTCAGATAAGTAGGATTTTAGTAGCCTAAATATAAACCGTTTTCCATGATAAAACAGGATTAACATTTAATATGCCTTCTTTAAAAGCCAAGGCAGAACTAAGACAAAAAGTCAGTAGCCTACAGAAAGAAAAAACATCCCATATGATGTAAAGAGTGTTAACAATTATTAATGCCTTCAACCAAATTTCTAGACACACTGCAAATCTAATTACTTTCTTCACCAATTCTCTTTTATTATAAGGAAAAGTGTGAATGTAAACAATTTACATAATATGTGAACTCATGATAGTAAGCTCAAACATTGCAGTCTTCAGTGAGATTCAAAAGCTGAGGGGTATCAGAACCTGTGGATCACAGCAGGCCTGTTACACAGGGTAGCCGTAGTTGCGGTCACAGCAAAGCAAGCAATGAGGGTTCATCCAATGCTCCATGCTGGTCTCCTGAGCCCTCTGCTCCAGCCTCTGCGTATGCAGCATGTGTTCCTGAAATACACGTGAACTGTGAATTTTACTGACATGGAGCTAAGTTCACTTATTGAATTGTTTTTGAATTTTGGTATTTAAAACCAGCACAAAGCAACATTGTGAACAGATCTTTACTATCACAAAGAATTACAGCCAGGCTCCAATGCATGATGTTTTCTTAAGCTTTGTTATTAAGCATGTAAATAAAAGATAGAAAATAGAGTCTGTTGTTGGCACCCAACCCTCATAGGTTCATCAGGGTGTCCAGGCTTCTGTCTCTTGGTGCGGAGTAGCTGCTTTGCAAAACTCTCCTTAATGATGGGGCTTGCATCTAGGAACATGACACACATGTGTATCAAGATCACAATTTCATACTGTAATTTCATGGTAATGACAACATGATTTATTCTTGTGAATACATTTAACTGATTGATTTGTCTAAATAACTAAGGGGTTGCCTATATTAATAATGTCACAACATTTGATTATGTATATTTTTTATGTAGTATACAAATGAGATTACCAAAGACTTACATTTGTGTCATTTAATATTAGCCTGCTCTTTCTTTCTTTTTACTACATGCTAATTTTATTTTTTCCATTCTTCCCCAGGCGGCCATTCTTCCTGTGAACCTTTATTCTTTCAGATTTCCTCGAGTCTTTTGGGGGTCTAATTTGTATGAATTTTGGCCTTTCTCTTTCCCTCTTTCTTCATCTCGCTCCCTTTTCTCTCTCTTTCACACAGACATGCACGCACACACATACACTTCACTCACTTTCTCTCCTGCCTCACCATTTCAACCCCTCCCTCCTTTTCCCAGCGCTGTTTCTCTATGGAAGAACACAAAGTGCCCATTCATGAGCGGGTCTCCCCGGGGTGACCTGGAGCTCTGACCCGCGAGGGGTATGAAAATGAGCCCGTTACGGTAAACACCGACGTGGCAGATAAACAGCCGCACCGCGTTTTTCAAAGCAGTTTTTACACGTTTCGCTGACGTTAGTCTATAATTAGATACGATTCTTTAATTTATAGAGATGGGCAGGGTGGGTGAAATTATCACATAATTGAAAAGACTAGTTTATTCAGCCGTAACATTTTCAGCAGATAGCCTAAAACAATAGGAATAGAAATATATTGAATAGGATGGTATGGAATAGGAATATATAAAAACTAATACACGACAACGTGTTACCCCCACAGCACCCCTGCTTACAGGCCACTGGATAGGCTACAGAAGAAGACGACTCCTGGCTGCACATCTGGATGAGACTGTAGTTACAGACATTCTCCACAAGATGTCGCCTTTACTTTAAATTAAACGTCAATGTCTAGGCCTACGACCCTGCTACACAATGGTTAAAACACTGATCTGAGTAATTCATTACATTTTATATAGCGCTTTTCTAGGCACTCAACGCGCTTTACATTGTCAGGGGGTATCTCCTCATCCACCACCAGTGTGCAGCATCCACCTGGATGATGCGACAGCAGCCATAGTGCACCAGAACCCCCACCACACACCAGCTTACTGGTGGAGAGGAGACAGAGTGATGAAGCCAATCAGCAGATATGGGGATGGTTAGGAGGCCATGATGGTCAGAGGCCAATGGGTAAACTTGGCCAGGATGCCGAGTTCACACCTCTACTCTTTTCGAAACACATCCTGGGATTTTTAATGACCACAGAGAGTCAGGACCTCAGTTTAACATCTCATCCGAAGGACGGTGCTTGTTGACAGTATAGTGTCCCCGTCACTATACTGGGGCGTTAGAACCCACACAGACCACAGGGTGAGCACCCCCTGCTGGCCTCACTAACACCTCTTCCAGCAGCAACCTAGTTTTCCCAGGAGGTCTCCCATCCAGGTACTGACCAGGCTCAGCCCTGCTTAGCTTCAGTGGGTAACCAGTCTTTTTTTTTTATTATCAAAAGTTTACAAAATATTGTTTACATAACACAGTATTAAATCTCTTCATTATATTCACACACAACAACTAAGGTATCATATACATCACAATACCATCTAAAACATAAATGTTTAAGTCCATCCTTCAATCCAAACACATGTTTTAACTTAATCCACATTTACCATATTACTCACTTTCTTTTCTCCCTTAGAATTTTATACTTAACCATTTTTTGTCATCTACACATATAAACCCATTTCCTTCAACAAAAGCCTTTTCAAAAACATCTTTGCTCAGATATTTCCACATTAAATAAACATCCTTCTTCATCACAGTTTTAAACATCTCAGATACATCCACATTTTTCCTTTCAAAATATGCCAAATTCCTCCTCGCCCATATTGCATGACTTAAAATAAAATTACACAAATTGACCTTCATATCTTTACAATTCATACATTCACCAAATAATAAAAACATTTCCCATTCATTTCCTGTTACATTTTTTCCCCAATCATCTTTGATTAATTTTTTCAATTTTCCATGAAACTCTTCAAGCTCTTTACATTCAACAAATATATGCATCAATGTCTCTGGTTCAGTCTCACACACATCACACTCTCTATTCACATTTTTGTTAATTTGATGAATCATAACTTTCGTAAATATCCTGTTATGTCTAATTTTAAAGTCTAGGTTCTCACAATCTAGACCATTATATCTCACACTTAAATTTTTCCCAGATTGTCTTCACATTCAAATCTGGAAACAGTTTTGGCCACACAGCCTCTGATGCAGGCAATTTAATTTATTTTTCACCATTATCTTATATATAGTTTTCACATTTATCTCAGACAAATACTACTTCTCCTCATTTTTTACAATTTTCAGGAATTCCCCAATTTCCAACTTTAACAGTCTCTTTCTCAATCATTCCCACCCACCTCT